TTAGGCAGGTGTGTTTGAAATACTTAGTTTGATCTGATATAATTATTACGCACTTATATTTTGTTCGATTCAGGTGCATCAGGAATTTTTTTTTTTTTTGAAAATTACAAGATAGATAAATCAATTCTTTGATATTTTGTTTCCAAGAAAAGAAACAGTAGAATTTGCGTTAAATAATCTTTTTTTTTCAAAACAAAGATACTTTCCGTCTCTGTACTGTAAAGAAAACTTTAAGAAGGTACAATGTAGGTAAGGAATTTCGTTTATTAAGACACTTTCGAATATAAGTTAAAATAGCTTAATAATATTACAAATGGAGAAGAAAAACTTTTGGATAAATAAAAAAAAACTGTTTACAGGGGTTTAGAATTAGTTTCAGGTCAGGATATTTTTTTCAGTTGGTTGAGAAGGGCAAACAAAACATGGATTAGAAGACGGCCTTATACGTCTTTCTTCTTAATTATATTAAGATAGATGATGTTTCTGTAAAATTTATAATCTTAGTTCACGCTGGCTTAGTCTTTCTAGATCATAAGAATTAATAGGTCTCAAAATCATTAAAATCTTCACATAATCCTACTTTTTGATAATGACTCCTTTATAAGATTTTATATGATAAAATGATTTTTCTTACAGAAAAATATGCTATCAGAAGAATTTGCACAAAATGAACATCTACAACAAATTATAACAAAATTACAGATATTTTTTTTATCTATACATTTGATCGTAATATATGTTTTGCAAGCTTCACCAATTTCAAGCTTCACCAATTCAAGAAACTCAAGAATTCAATTGAAATACGCAGGTCACTTTTACTTAAATATGCATGCTCAATTTAACGGTAAAACAATCTTGAGATACTATTGTAGATAACCTGTACCTTGTAAATTTTATTTGATTATCTAAACATACATGCGCACTGCAATCGTGTATTTTTTTTTGTCTTATGCGTCTTATACAAATGTATATATATACACAATAACGGTTATTTAATATCAAACCCAGATCTGTGAGGTTCGTTTGATTTTGAATATTTAAATAACGGTCATCTTTCAATTTGCTACCGACGGCTATATGTACAATACATGTATAAGAAAAAAAGAGTTAGGCTGTGAGACCTTCTACTCGTCTTAAAATTTTTTGAAAAATATTATAATTACGAATTCATTCTCTTAATAACTGGAATATATGTATAGAATATTTTTGTTTTATAAATATTTTTTTAAACTGCGCTAAATGTCCCCTTGATAAAAATGTTGATGTCACTCTTAACGCACTCTGAAAAAAATTTCAAAGTGCGTTGAGTGTGTCCCAAATTCAACGCACTTTGAATTTTTTTTTTAAAGTGCATTGATTTTGTTTCAATTGTAAAGCACTTTGAATTTTTTTTTTCAAAGTGCGCAATTTTTTCAAAGTGCGTTGCCACACTGCCTTCTTCGTTCTTCCAGCAAATTCGGAAAACAATGTTTGTCGAAAAGTCTTGAGAAGATGCAAACTACAAAACAGTTCAATATTTGAACATATGTTAAGGCATCAACAAAAATTGGAAACTTTTGATTTTTACATAACGGGCGAACACAGAGACACGAGATTTACAAGCATATTAGGTCTACTTATAAATTAATTCCTGACTTACCACGTGGTGAAATTTACATTCTGGTAGAATAATCAAGAAATTAATTTCCTTACTAAAGTTTTTACAGAGCAAACAAGTAGAAGTAAATGGGAATATTTTAAAACATTGAAGGCCTACTGGCTCCACAACTTACTACCAATTGCTTGAAAAACCACTACTAATGTGAAGCCTAAGCAGGGTCATCATTCTGAAATAATATCTCTGAAAATCAGCCCTGTGCAATTTTGTATCCCTCTATAGATAAATCGATTTAGAAATTTAAACCTATAGTTCACCATTCTACCTCTTTTCATTTAATGATACCAAAGCTATATCTGACTTGGTCTTTTTGAAAGATATGCTTGTCAAAAATATCTTTAATTTTCACGCTAGCTAGAAAGTTCAGTGCACGCAAACTTTTTTCTAAATGCGCCGAATTAAAATTGTTCAATTTTTTTTTCAATTAAATCTAGATATGCTACGCAAAAGTGATCATTTTAAAGACTGCCTGGCCTACATTGTGTGACCTTCTTGTGTATAACTGTGTTATTTCTTACGTATGACAAAAGAAAAATTAACATTCTAATGGAAAACGCGAGTTTTCTGTCAATTAAAAGAGGATTGATCTCGAAAAATGTTCATCAGGTTTGTCTTAATTATCATAATAAGAAATTACACTATGGAATGTTGAGAAACGTTTTTTTTTCTTAAAGTACAAAGGGTTAGTTTAACATAAGAAACCTAATTTTCCTTAACATCAATGCAAAAAGCAAGTACATGCATTTGCCTCATACATCATGTTCCTGATAAAATACTTAGTATCTTTAATCTTAATTTTTCTTATCAAACATGAGTGCATACGAAAAAAATTCGTGGACGGGCGCCATAAAATTAAAACCACTTTAGGTACATCAATGAATTTCAAAATATCTTTTTATAAATAGTAAGCATTAACTTTTCTATGTATAGAATTCGAATAAACCACGAAACATGAGATTTTCGTTTCTAATTAATTAGAAAATAATAAAATGTTTTGTAAGCATTGGTGTGTCCAGGCACCGCAATCGAAATAGGTAATGTTTAAACTGGCTACGGAGAAATAAAATGAACCCGGAGTACTAGTTTTAATGCCAAAAGAGATTCAGAGAGAAATGGGATCCACCGTTAATATCGATTTTAATCAAAATGCGAAAAATCAATTACGTCAAAAAATTACGCGTGATCATGTGTTGTACCTATTGAACGCCAAAAAGCACAATATGCTGGCAAAATCAAGCGATGAACTCTTCCAATTTACAAATTCCTTTGCAATATAATATGCATTGAAAGTCACTGTGACATTGTAAAATTATATCAACAAGACGGGTTTAAGTCCTTTCTCAGCTCCAGGGAATCTCATCAAAAGAGTGTGTGAGACAGATAAGCCGAGACAGATAAACAATAACGTTGGCGGACGTCAAGAAACTAAACGGCGACTGCGCTGGGTCAACATTTAATGTCGTTTTAAATTTATACTAACTTTGCAAATAATAAACGAATCAAGCTTAACTTTTCAACCTTTTTATTATTATGTTCCTTATAAAAGTTTAAAGCACAGAATACGTAGTTCTAATTTTACAGCCTCAGTCAACTATCTTTTAGTTAACCCCTTGTATATACCTCTGTCGTTGTTTCTTTTTTTAAATCACTGAGTCAAATGCAGACTGATGTTACTAATTGTTAGTCCATTATTAACACAATGAATTTTCCGTAATTTCCCGATCATGAACACACGGCGGGTGTGACAGGTCAGCAGGGGAAGCTCACTCCTCCATGGCACCTGATCCCACTTTAGCGAAAGTTAGAATTGTGCAAATATGTAGACGAGTTACTCTCAATAATTCAAACACTATGTACATCTCATTTTATCAAGTACTGATGGTAAAGTTGTTTGCTTCATGTAAATGATTTTTTTTCATTTCTGTCATCATGCACGCCACTCCAGCTGCAACTGCAAGTATAAACATATTGCACTCCTCCTCAGATACGATAGAACTTCGAATTGATCCACGAATAGTTCTTTACAACATATTAAGTCTTATATTTGCTTGAAATATTGTAAAATAGCATAAAATATCCATGTCATCTTAGAAAAAAATATTGTCTTCATGTAAGTGCGCAGCCTTTGCTTAATTCAAACATCAATACGAGAAAAAAATTCTAAATTTTTCTTACTATACAGTCCATCGAAAATATTAAAAAAAACATACACTACAAATTTATTAATAATCAGTCAAAACTAACCCTTTAATTACAGTGAGATTTTAAAATGCCGAAAATACAAGCTCTTTTACAGTCCCATTCAAAATAAGTACAATATACTTAGTAGCAAAAAAAACACATCATCGGGATTGAATTAGTACTTCCTTATTACTATAAGTACATATGAGTCAGTTTCACATGCTTCTTCTACCAAAAACACTTCCATTGAAAGTTTTGTACAATGCTACTACCAACAAAAAAAACTTTGTATAATTAGGTACTCTTTATTAGTCATAAACGATTTGCTGTTTTTAAGGAGCGCTGTTCGTAAGAGACATCATATCTCACCATGTGGTGATAAAGATAATAATAACTAGTGAAGAAATGTTAGATTCCCGAATTAAGTAAAGAAATAAGGGGATACTGCTGTACGTTATATTTCTAAAATAATATTTACATACAATATGAAAAAAAAATTAGTGCATGGATATTGATTCAACATCGTCTGCTTAAGAAAACCGCAAAATGACTTTCGGTGTAAGATACGTATATGTATCATATTTAGAAACGAAATCTTATAAAAAAGTAAATAATCCATAAAAACAGAATGTTTTTAACCAAAAGAAAACAAAACTCAATACTCAAACGAACAAAGAGATCCAGTATCTATCACCCTCCCCAGATATTGTTTACAATTTATCACTCCACGGCGTGTAGAAATTGTGTCAGTCCCTGTTTATGATAAATGCATTTAATAACTTTATATTTTAAATAAAAGTTTTAAGAAAATTCTTATCTTTTCCACTCTCATAAATTAACACAAAAATACGATGTAAAGCATTCCTGCAGGCTTGTTACACCTTATATCATATTATCACATATTTTTGTCTTATTATGTATGATCAAGCTCCAATAAAAATGAAGTTGCGTGTTTTTAAAAGTACATGTACAGTATATCAATTTCTCAATGCCACAGTTTTTGCTATCTGTTTTTTTTTTATTGAAGTAGTTTTAAATGACTGAATCAACTAAACTTAAATTTCTGAAGTACACTTAAATTGTTTTGCAGATCCTGACTTTGAAGCTAACGTTTGGAACTTTTAACTTCCTTCTTCTTAATTTTGGTAAAAAAAAATATGAAATGTGCATACTTATTGACACATACATGCTGTACGGATACTTTATAAATATGTTTAATTTAATTGATTTATTTTGTGTTATTTTCCCACTGATATCTACTGGATGTAGTGGTTTAGGTAAGTTACAATTATGAAATTACAAATATGTTCTTTTTTATGTATTCCTTCAATTGATCTTATTATTATTTTTGTATATTTTTTAAAGATAATATTGCTCTACATAAAACATTTCACGTGGAGTCTGTTTATCCTGGCTTTGAAGGGAAGGAATACAGAGCAGTTGACGGCAATAGAAGTCAGAAAAAAAAGCACTGTATATTTACAAATCCAGAAAATAAAAAACCAACTTATGTATATGTTGATATTGGATATATTGCTAACATCTATAACGTCACAATTTACTACAGAAAAAAATGTGAGTAAAAGAATTCCTCATACTTTGAAGTTTTGTGTTTTGAATTGGATTCGTAACTTTCCTTGATACCATTTTACACATACAAACTGACAAACTTCAGTTACATATGTACTATAAATTGAGTTTTATAAAGAGACAAACTTTTACAATCGACGACTGACATCTACAGTTTAAAGAGAGACAAACTCCAATCACTAAAATGTAAAAGTCAGCTGTCAAATGTAAAAGTAAATCTCTTCATAAAACTCAAGAAACTATTTGTTTCATTTCTTTCCTTTTACAAATAGATGAACAAAGACTTCACGGTTATGCTCTTTATTACTCCGACAAATTGTTCAGGAAAGTACGCAGTGAATTAGATCTGGAGGGATGGAATTTATGTTACAAGGATGATTCAATAAGCGATAAACCAAATGGAGTAGAATCGCAAATTTGTAAAGGCACAGCACGTTATGTTTTAATTTACCAGAATAAATCGTGGAATCCAAAAAAGAGCCCTATTCTTGGAATTTGTGAAATAGAAATTTTTGGTAAGTTCTTTATTTTTTTCTTCAGTTTGAACGTTATCTTCTTCGGAAAAAAAAACCTTTGAAACACAATACTCCATTCAGGTTTATATTGGCAAAAATGAAACTAAATTATTTTTTCATCTTTTCCTTATAAGTTATGAGTGATTGAATTCACTCCTTTCACGATACCCTCAAAAAGTGACAATCGAAATTTCTTATTATCTTCAGTGTCTCTGTCAGGCATCTGCCGTAGCCTTAATTCTCCTTTGCATAGAGTCAGGTATGTGTTTATCTCTCATTATTCAGCCCTTTCAACAAGGCAGCCATAGTTGAAAGAGACCATCTTAAGTATATCTAACCCTATTATCGATGCAGTCCCACTGATAAGAAATAAGAAAAGAGAGAATGTAATGATTATGATAGCCTTCTGTATTTGAACAGTTTATTAGATTGTTCAAAGCAGTTTATTAGTTGTGAGATGGCAATTAAACAGGTTTCAGGCCTAGGATGAATACTAGTAGCCCACTCTTGAAGTGGCCCTTTTACACTTCAACAACATCATCACGATTCGAAAATCTCCCAATTTGTCTCTGGTGTTTGGTAAGACGTTCCAAATTTCAAGAATGTGCACAGCAATCTGTTGTTGTCTCTGTCAATACTGGGGAAACGTAATTACAAGACCCCATAGAATGTCTGTCAACGGTTAAAAACTTGCAAAACATTCGTTATACATTTCTGATATATGTCATTCTGAACACTGATTTAAATGCAGAAGGCAAGATTTTTATCCGACCAGTTTTCGTAATGTTCGGTCATCCAAATCAAAAAATCTATCGTATTTTACCTTACGGTGTGTTTCTTTTTTCCATTCTACATGTATATAGTATGTTTCTTTTTTATGTTTCCATTATTATCGTTAAATATGTTTTTAAAAATCTGGATATATTTCTGCTAAAAATAAAACTGTATTCTAAAATTCCGTTTTTAATTTATATTACAGGGTGCAATCCGAGGCAATTTAGTAAAGTAAAAGAGTGCATACCGTGCCCTGGAAAGTTTTGTGAAGTTTGTGGTACAGATGGGGTATGTTTAGGTATGCACTTAAGCAATGAATGAATATTTTACTAAAGATACCGTCTAAAATGATCGGACACACTTTTGGATTCTCCATAGCAAAATGTGGACACTGCGATTAGGACAATTCCATTTTTGCATAGAAATCCACGTGTTTATCTGTTCTGATCCTAACATAATGTAAAAGAGATGTGAAATTGCGCTTTGTGATAAAGATTTATTTTTAAAAAGCTCGTTATATTTTATTCCGTAGTAAAGTTGCAAATAAATACATCGTTTATGATTCTGTTGTGTTGTATTTCCTTAGAATGTACGAACCACAGATACGGGAACCAGTGTGAAAAGAGTTGTTCCAAATCGTGTGTTGGGGGATGTAACATCAGTACAGGTCAATGTTACAGTAAGATTACATTCTGTTTGTACACTTTTTAAAAATGTAACTAGATGTCGAATTTACATGACAAATCATCAATTTATCTACGAGTCATGTCTCATTATTTTTAACCACTCAAATATTTCCAGGTTCTTAGTACTTTTTAAAAATGAGATGCAAAAAATACGAACATGATTAAAAAAAAAGGTTTAAAATAACATGTTGCATTGTTGATTTCGATCATTAACTATGTTAAAACTTACTGGAGTTCCATTGTTAAGATTAACAATTTTTATTCAACAAGTTGTTAAAATATTCCATTTTTGAATAACATAACAGGTTGCAATCCGGGGCAATTCAGTAAAGGAAAAGAGTGCATACCTTGTCCTGCAAAGTTTTGTGCATATTGCGGTACAGATGGAATATGCTTAGGTATTTATGTATACAGATATACCGAATATGAAAGTTTATTCCTAATCTCAAATCTTACTTTTAAAAAACAATGATACAAACATAAAAAAGGGACTGATTAAAACAGTAAATCTTGCTTAGGACAAACACGGATATACCGAAATTACAGATATGACGAAGAAATTATTAAAAATTATTTGTTTTAAAAAATTTTAAACTCAGTCACAACTATTATAGCAAAATGATAGACACTGCTATGAGAGCAATTCCATGGAATTCTTTGGGAAATTAAAGCCTGATAGTGCAGTGAAAAAAAAAATAAACATAGATATGCAGTTTTGTTGATTATGTCATTTATTTAAATGACATAAGAACAATTCTATTTTTGGAAGGAAATCCACACAGTCATCTATCTGTTCAGAATATAAAATGAGAAATTACGCTTTATAATAATTATTTAAAGGCTCGTTATATTTTATTCCGTAGTAAAGTTGCAAATAAATACACCGTTTGTAATTCTGTTGTGTTGTATTTCCTTAGAATGTGAGAACCACAGATACGGGTACCAGTGTGAAAAGAGTTGTTCTGATTCGTGTGTTGGGGGATGTAACTTCAGTACAGGTCAATGTTACAGTAAGATTACATTCTGTTTGTACACTTTTTAAAAATGTAATTAGATGTCGAATGTACATGACAAATCATCAATTTATCTACGAGTAATGTCTCATTATTTTTAACCACTCAAATATTTCCAGGTTCTTAGTATTTTTTGAAAATGAGATGCAAAATATACGAACATAATTAAATAAGGTTTAAAATAAAATATTGTTTTGTTGACTTCATTAAATATGTTAAAACTTACTGGAGTTCCATTGTTAAGATTAAAATTTTTATTCAACAAATTGTTAAGATATTCTATTTTTGAATAACATAACAGGTTGCAATAGGGGGCAATTCAGTAAAGGAAAAGAGTGCATACCTTGTCCTGCAAAGTTTTGTGCATATTGCGGTACAGACGGAATATGCTTAGGTACATGTATGTATACAGATATACCGATTATGAAAGTTTATTCCTAATCTCAAATTACATTTTAAAAACAATGATGCGAATATAAGAAAAAGAACTGATTAAAATAGTAAATCTTGTTTTAAAAAAACACAGATATACCGAAATTACAGATATTACAAAGAAATTATCAATAATTATTTGTTTAAAAAATTTTCAAACTCAGTCACAACTATTATAGCAAAATGATAGACACTGCTATGAAAACAATTCCATTTATTCTTCCTTTTGGGAAATATCAACCTGATAGTGCAGTGAAAAAATAACTAAACACAGATATGCAGTTCTGTTGATTATGTCATTTATTTAAATGACATAAGAACAATTCAATTTTTGGAAGGAGATCCACACAGTCATCTATCTGTTCAGAATATAAGATGAGAAATTACGCTTTATAATAATTATTTAAAGGCTCGTTATATTTTATTCCGTAGTAAAGTTGCAAATAAATATGCTCAACAAAAAAAGTTAAGGGTTATCAAAACCTTCATATATAATTTCTACATCCATAAAGTATATTTATTCAAAATAAATTACATAATTTCCTTTGTAAAGTTACTACACATTTGATAAAAAACTGATGGTAATTGTTCAGTCGGACAGAAGAACAAGATTACCAATTATGGATACCCTCCTATTCAGAGTGAATTTGCATATACAGTAAATGCGTGATTTGCTTAATTCAAAACTGACAATTATCCAACAACTCTCAAAACTTGGTATGGCTTCCCCTTGCTTGAAAAACAGCCCTGCATCGCCTTGGGAAACTTCGAATGAGTGAACAGATGGTTTTTTGTGGTATGCGATCCCATTCCTCTACCAGATCAACTTCAAGTCCATTGGTATTGTATGGAGTAGTATACTGCTGCTGAATTTGCCTCTGAAAAACATCCAAGAGATGTTCAATAGGATTGAGGTCTTGTGACTTCGAGTGCCATCGCATTCTATAGATAGTCTCTGCCTCAAGGTACTGGTTCACTATGTTTGCTCTGTTTGGCCTGGACTTATCATCCATTAAAACAAATGCTGTCCCTATTGCACCTGTAAATGTTCTCGCAATTGGCTGAAGGATCTCATCTCTGTATCTGATACCGGTCAGTGCTCCCTTTATGATGATGTACAACTCCGTGGACCCCTGAATCGAAATGCCTCCCCACACCATAATGGAACCTCCAACAAAGCGATCACGTTTAGCCACAGAGCATTTTCTAAATTGCTCATTTTTCTGTTTCCACGATCGTCACCTTCCATCAATACAATCTACACAAAATTTTGATTCTTCACATCCATTCATAATAAATTTCAGAACTGAAATATCCTTTACTTAACTACAGTATATTTTACATAACCCTTAACTTTTTTTGTTGAGTATACATCGTTTGTGATTCTGTTGTGTTGTATTTCCTTAGAATGTGAGAGCCACAGATACGGGTACCAGTGTGAAAAGAGTTGTTCAGAATCGTGTGTTCGGGGATGTAATATCGGTACAGGTCAATGTTACAGTAAGATTACATTCTGTTTGTACACTTTTCAAAATTATTTTTAGATGTCGAATGTACGGAACAAATAAAGAACCTATCTAAATGTTACGTCTTTTTAACCACTCAAATATTTCCAGGTTCTTAGTAATTTTTCAAAGTAAAAGCAAAATAATTCATGAATCAATAAGGTTTAGAATAAAAAAGAAATATTTCACTAAAGAAAGTTATAAACAAAGAAGGTTTACAAAGAAACTTTATCCTAATTTAAATTGTGTGTATGTTTATGAAGTATATGCAAAGTGTTGGGTATTTGTGAGAGAGTAAGCTTGTATATGTGTTTGAGTGAGCGAGAAAGAAAGAGAGAGAAGCTCAATTATGAAAATGAGAAACTTTGTGTCAAAGATTCATAGATATTTTGTATTTGTGCTAATCATCTTTAAGCATGCAGTCCAGACAAGTTTGGTATCTTTTGTAACGAGACATGTGGACAGTGTAGGGAAGAACCAAATAAAGAAAGTTGTGATGACGTCACTGGAACCTGTGTCAGTGGATGTGAAAGGGGATTCTCAGGAAGATTATGTGATGAAGGTAATTCCACAATAACAGATTTACCATAGGTAATTTTAAAGTACTTTTTAGAATCTTTGCTTTTAGATATATGGAAGATTCATTTAACTTTAATTTTTTGTTATTAAAAAACATTTTTCTCTACTCAAAAATCATCCTTACAAAAACATCAGTAACATTTTCTAAAGTTTTAACGCTAGATTAACGTTTTGAAAATAGTTAATTTTGCGGATTTACTTTTCAGAGTGTAATGGAACATCATTTGGATATAACTGTAATGAAACCTGCTGTAAAACCTGTAAATGGACCGCAAACGGTATCCGACTGTGTAATAGTTCATCGGGTCATTGTTATAGTTGTGTGGCAGGAAAAAGAGGGGTTTATTGCAATGAAGGTACGTGTCAATTTGTTTAAAATATTCTATATCCCTTTTTTCAGTTTTGAAAACATTTCAATAGGTACAAAAAACATTATATGTTATATATGTTATAACTTTTCCGTCGTTTCGACACATATATGTACCAATTGCATAAAACAAATATTAAATGTTTACCTCTCATTTTCGAACAATTTACTTCAAATTTATAAAGTGTTGACATACTTTTAATCGATATCAACAAAATCTACATCCTTAAATATAGAACAACAACCCCCTATTTTTTTCTAGAAAAAATGTTTTTGTTTTTTTTAAATCACTTAAAACATTATGGATTTAAATAGGGAAATATTTAAGAATAATGATAACAACCCAATTTATATGTCTCATCTGTTATTTTTAGTCTAGCTCTAAAAAGTTCATTTAAACAATTTATTGCATTGATTTATTTCAAAAACATAGGTTCTCTAAATTTGCCTTCACTTTTTCAGTATTTTTATTTCGAGTATATGCGTTTTGTATTCAAACATGAATCTATCGTGTATCATTTGTGTATTGTCATTCAATTGAGATTTTTATTTCAGATTGTATGTCCATGACGTATGGGGAAAACTGTTTGCACATATGTGGGCACTGTTTCAATGGATCAGGATGTAACTCTGTTAGCGGAGCATGCGCAGAGGGCTGTGATGCTGGATATCAAGGGATTAACTGCAATGAAAGTTTGTACTTGTATTTTGCACTAACATATTGCAAAATTCATTTTCAAAAATTTTGCTTTGTACTTTAAAACATGGCACCATATCTACGTTAAATTAAAGTTTGTAATTGTATTTTTCAAAAACTTAATGCAAGGTTCATTATTTAAAGAAATTTAACTTCAGTCTAGAGTACTTTAAAACATGGCACCAAATGTACGTTATATTCCATAAAAAAAATACTGTGCAAAACGACTGAAAATAAAATAAAATATTTTAAAATCAGTATAAGCATTTTCTAAAGTTTTTGATAAGGGTTATCATGCTTGATTAGAACTGTACTATGAGCAATATTGTAGACGTATTTTTTCCACGGGGACATAATTTCTACTAACCTATATTTCTGTTTAAAAAGCTTGCTTTTCTAAATACAAATCGAGATGAAATTACTCCTAAAACGTTGACAATTATATACCCCTCAAAAAATGCTTTCATTATCTGCATAATACGACTGTTCGTATAGTATAAGCTTTACAGTTTATATTTTTAGCTTGCGAAAACAAAACCTTTGGTAGCAAATGCGGGGAGATATGTGGCCACTGTCGGAATGATACAGCATGTGATCCGTTCAGCGGATCATGTGACTCCGGTTGTGAACCTGGGTATCAGGGACTGACCTGCAAAGAAACCTGCGGATTTTGTCGTCAGAACACTGACTGTGATCAGTTCAACGGGACGTGTTTGGGTGGATGTCAGGAAGGATACCAAGGGGAAATCTGCAATGAAAGTAACATAAACTTGTGCTTGAAATATTATGTAATAACGAACAGTATTCAAAATCAGAAAGTCCATTAATCAATTCATATTTTGAACAAAGCATAAAGGGACCTCTAAAACATCAGAAGTGGGATAAGGTGCCATTGAGAAGCAAGTGTTTCCTGCCGAAAGGCAACATCCGCCGTTTGCTCCTTGTCAGGATTGGTAAATTACGGAAAACTCCGTCGACAATTCAGTGTTTACGTAACATATTTACATAATGGTCTAAAAATAACAATGAAAGACGTCCTGTTTTTTCTGTATTAATAAAAGTTGTATCATAGCGACGTGTGATTTCTTTTGTTAAAAGTGTGGGTTTTCTGTACATAACCCACAATTTTCTATAACTTCACCCATCGAACCGGGACAAAAGAACTATAAAATCATGCACAATTTTTAAATGAAACAATCACCTGGGCTTGTTATATCAAATTCAGGAGAGTAAAAAATAGAGTAAAAATTATCATTTATAGACAGCATTATGTACATGTAATAATTAACAATTAAAAACGGGCATGAATACTTCAACTTTAGTTTAAACAAAACTTCAAAAATCGCTTAATTTATTAAAGATATTTTTTTAAAAAGTGTCCAGGGTGACGTTAGCTAAGTAGATTCCAATATCGTTCTTTTGATAACCAACAAAGGAAAAACGGTACAAACATGAAGTAAAATCAAAGTGTACACTACTGTACTTAAATAAAGTTTTCTATTGCGGATCTAGCCAATCAAAGATCCAATTTTTATTAAATTGAAATATACAATGTACATAACTTCTAACAAACATTTCAATCAACGTACCACTGTGCACGACAGAGTATGCATCGGGTTAGCAAAACTTTAAGTTTAACCAAGTTCATGATAAATTTAAATTATTTGATTTTGACGATTAAAATTTACAAGGAAAAAATCCTATCAAATCAACATATCTCACTGAAACCAAACTCGTTAATCTTTCAATTCCATAAAAAGGACTAAGATATGTTTTATTTTTATATCGCCCGCGTGATGCAGTGGTTAGAGCGCCTGCTCTCACTGCTCAATGACACTGAGTGCCGAGGGAAGGACAAAATTTGTAGCTCTCCACCGGCATGACGTAGTGTCTCCACATGAGTGAAAAATTCTTCAGGAGAACGTTAAACAACAAACCATTAATTTTTGAAAAGTATTGTATACAAATCACTTACCCTGTACTCAATGGAGGTGGTCAGAAGGACACAAAGGAGCTTAAAATCATGTAAAATCCACATGTATCATTGAAACCAATTTACCAAACACTTAATGTTTCAATCACATGAACCATTCCGACCAATTCCTGAGCTGACTAACATATGAATGATTTTTGAAAACTATGGTACAAGTCATTTACCCCACACAATACTGTTGATTATGTGCAGATACCCGATGAGCATGGTCATAATGACAACTCGGGAGGTACATGTACGATCCCTCGTGTCATTATGACCATGCCCATCGGGTATCTGTACATAACTAACAGTATTATATGGGGTAACTACTACACAGGTTTTTTTTTTCTTTTGCAAGAAAATTTTGTACTTACTGAAAAAACATCCTTAATTGAACAAATGGTTATACAAAATTAACTTTTTTATTTGTTTTTGGGATATTTCATCTAAGCTTTTTTTCCTTAGTATGTGATATCAATTATTACGGAGAAGACTGCAACTTTACATGTAATGAACATTGCGCATGCGCAGTACCTACATCCGTGTCCATTTGTCATCACGTGACCGGGGAATGTCTTATGGGTTGTAAAGATGGCTGGATAGGGAAACGTTCTGATTCAGGTTTGTAATATATGTGAATGGTAATTGTTATCAGAAAAATAATGTTGTTGATACAAACTCATGATTTTCCTGCGATATAGATGACCGTTCCTATACTATATATTTGTCACGTTTTTAGATGATGTATATGTGGAAGCTATAGTGTCAAGATTCTGAAAGATTTCTGTTATCATTAAGGTCTTCCGTCTTCACGGAAGACCTTCTAGTGATTCTACTGTTTCTTATTATTATTATTTTTTTTTCCCCAAAATTTTGTGCAGGCGATTTCTCGAAAACTATTCGGTGGTTTTCAATGAAACTTTCAGGAATTATGCGTCATTATATGAACTTTGTTCATCAGAAGGAAAATTTGGAATACTCACTTTCGGTTCCAAGTTATTGACAGTTTTCTGATTTTAAAATGGATTTTTGTCCCCCCTTTTTTACGAAAATGGTCTAAGATATTAACTGGAGACTTGTTAGAGATGATAGATGATGACTTTTAGATATGTGAAATCACCTTTTCGTGTGTGGTCAGTACTTCCGGTCGCTAGCGGAAGCGAATTTAAAAAGTCCGTATTTTCTAACTTTTTTGTTTTTCAAAATTTTTCATTTATTTTTGGAATGTTAATAGAAACCGTTCTTATAATGCTTACTATATAATTTGTTTGAACATTGATTAATCCAAACTCTAAATATTAACATTTAAAAATCTGAAGCTGGTCCAATATGGCGGCTGCCTATGTCAACTCCGACATTTCGCAATAGGGGTTTTCAGAGGCAGCCAAGCGTTTGTTTGAACGAAAGTAAATAAGGATAAATGAAATGTAAAGGAATACGGGGATTGTCACGATGTAGATACGTTGCAATTCTGTGTCAAACTTAAGTTCAAATTCATGGTCGTCTCAAACGTCTTCTATAATTGGTTTTGGCTGGTTCTCAAA